ATAGACAGACCACTAGCAAGATTAATAAAAAAGAAAAGAGAGAATAACCAAATTGATGCAATAAAAAACGATGAAGGGGATATCACCACAGATTCCACAGAAATTCAAACCATCATCAGAGATTATTACAAACAACTCTATGCACATAAACTAATAAACCTGGAAGAAATAGATAAATTCCTGGACACTTGCCTCCTCCCAAGCCTAAACCAGGAAGAAGCCGAAACCCTGAACAGACCCATAACAAGGTCTGAAGTTGAGGCAGCAATTAAGAGATTACCACCCAAAAAAAGCCCAGGTTCAGACGGGTTCACAGCCAAATTCTACCAGACATACAAAGAGGAGCTGGTACCATTCCTTCTGAAACTATTCCAAACAATACAAAAAGAGGGAATTCTTCCCAAATCATTTTATGAAACCAACATCATCCTGATTCCAAAACCCGGCAGGGACTCAACAAGAAAAGAAAACTTCAGGCTAATATCCATGATGAACATAGATGCAAAAATCTTCAATAAAATACTGACAAGCCGATTGCAACAGCACATCAAAAAGCTTTTCCACCACGATCAAGTAGACTTCATCCCGGGGATGCAAGGCTGGTTCAATATACGCAAGTCTATAAACGTAATTCACCACATAAACAGAACCAAAGACAAAAACCACATGATTATCTCAATTGATGCAGAGAAGGCCTTTGACAAATTTCAACAGCCCTTTATGCTAAAAACCCTCAATAAGCTAGGTATCGATGGAACGTATCTCAAAATAATAAAAGCTATTTATGACAAACCAACAGCCAATATCACACTGAATGGGCAAAAACTGGAAGCATTCCCCTTGAAATGTGGCACCAGACAAGGATGCCCTCTCTCACCACTGCTATTCAATATAGTATTAGAAGTTCTAGCCAGAGCAATCAGGCAAGGAAAAGAAATAAAGGGCATTCAAATAGGAAAGGAGGAAGTCAAATTGTCTCTATTTGCAGACAACATGATTGTATATCTACAAGACCCCATCGTCTCAGCCCCAAATCTCCTGAAACTGATAAGCAACTTCAGCAAAGTCTCAGGATACAAAATCAATGTGCAAAAATCACTTGCATTCCTATACACCAATAACAGACTTAAAGAGAGCCAAATCAAGAACAAACTTCCGTTCACAATTGCCACAAAGAGAATAAAATACCTAGGAATACAACTAACAAGGAACGTAAAGGACCTCTTCAAGGAGAACTACAAGCCACTGCTCAACGAAATAAGAGAGGACACAAACAGATGGAGAAACATTCCATGTTCATGGTTAGGAAGAATCAATATCGTGAAAATGGCCATACTGCCCAAAGTAATTTACAGATTCAATGCTATCCCCATCAAGTTACCAATGACCTTCTTCGCAGAACTGGAAAAAACCACCTTAAACTTCATATGGAACCAAAAGAGAGCCCGCATAGCCAAGTCAATTCTAAGCAAAAAGAACAAAGCGGGAGGCATCACACTACCGGACTTCAAACTATACTACAGGGCTACAGTAATCAAAACAGCATGGTACTGGTACCAAAACAGAGATATAGGCCAACAGAACAGAGGTCTCGAAGGCAACACAACATATCTACAACCATCTGATCTTTGACAAACCAGACAAAAACAAGCAATGGGGAAAGGATTCCATGTTCAATAAATGGTGTTGGGAAAGCTGGCTAGCCATGTGCAGAAAGCAGAAACTGGACCCCTTCCTGACACCTTACACTAAAATTAACTCCAGAAGGATTAAAGACTTAAACATAAGACCTAACACCATAAAAACCCTAGAAGAAAATCTAGGCAAAACCATTCAGGACATAGGTGTAAGCAAAGACTTCATGACCAAAACACCAAAAGCATTGACAACAAAAGCCAAAATAGACAAATGGGACCTAATCAAACTCCACAGCTTCTGCACAGCAAAAGAAACAGTCATTAGAGTGAATCGGCAACCAACAGAATGGGAAAAATTTTTTGCAGTTTACCCATCTGACAAAGGGCTGATATCCAGAATTTACAAAGAACTAAAACAGATTTACAAGAAAAAAACTAACAAGCCCATTCAAAAGTGGGCAAAGGATATGAACAGACACTTTACAAAAGAAGACATACATGAGGCCAACAAACATATGAAAAAATGTTCATCATCACTGGTCATCAGAGAAATGCAAATCAAAACAACATTGAGATACCATCTCACGCCAGTTAGAATGGCGATCATTAAAAAATCTGGAGACAACAGATGCTGGAGAGGATGTGGAGAAATAGGAACACTTTTGCACTGTTGGTGGGAGTGTAAATTAGTTCAACCATTGTGGAAGACAGTGTGGTAATTCCTCAAGGACCTAGAAATAGAAATTCCATTTGACCCAGCAATCCCATTACTGGGTATATATCCAAAGGATTATCAATCGTTCTATTATAAAGACGCATGCACACGTATGTTCACTGCGGCACTGTTTACAATAGCAAAGACCTGGAACCAACCCAAATGCCCATCGACGATAGACTGGATAGGGAAAATGTGGCACATATACACTATGGAATATTATGCAGCCATCAAAATGATGGGTTTGGGTCCTTTGTAGGGACATGGATGAACCTGGAAACCATCATTCTCAGCAAACTGACAGAAGAGCAGAAGATCAAACACTGCATGTTCTCACTCATAGGCGGGTGTTGAACAATGAGAACACATGGACACAGGGAGGGGAGCACTACACACTGGGGTCAGTTGGGGGGAAATAGGGGAGGGACGGTGGGGGGTGGGGAGCTGGGGAGAGATAGCAAGGGGAGAAATGCCAGATGTAGGTGATGGCGAGGAAGGCAGCGAATCACACTGCCACGAGTGTACCTATGCAACAATTTTGCATGTTCTGCACATGTACCCCAAAACCTAAAATGCAATAAAATAAATAAATGGGGGGAAAAAAAAAAGAAAATCTATAGAACACCAAAGTTGCTATAGTAACCTGATAGGATGAACAAAAAGGTGGATTTCTGTTAAACCCTAATTTTGTTTTCCAGAAAGTTTGAAAACCTGATAAATTTATTAGAGTAATAAGCTGTGACACATAAAATAGTTATAAAAAGAAAATCATAACATAAAGTTAATAGAGCAAAATTTGCAGGTAGATCTTAAAAAACCAATGAATAATGTTAAGTGCTACCTCTCTCTGAACTTAAGGCTATAAGTATATTGTCAGTCTTTGTAAGTATAATTAAGACAACGAGCTTGTTCAATAATATAACTGACTGGGACACAATTAAAAGCATATTCACAAGTGGCATCATATCCAGAAATAGAATTACATGCAAAACATGCCATAAGGCTAAGCATAAAACTTGACTTAAAAAAAAAAAGTGACCTGTGAGATTAAATCAACAAGAGGCAAACAGAAGATGCAGAAGCCTCTAAATGTGGAAGAATAGAAATATCAGGGCAAGACAAAGCAATTTAAAGAAACTTAACAGAAGAGTAAAACACAAGATTTGATTTAGAGAAAACATAAATACTCTGAAAAGAAGAAACTTTTTGAAATAATTTCCATTTATTTGCAAAGTCTTTTTAGTATTAAGCATTTATAAAACTGTTACAGTTTCTCAGGAAGGAAGACGATGGGATTCAGGTGGCTGTGTGATGAATCAGGGAAGGAGATGCAGATGAGTCAGGAAGCCACACAATTTACTCATCCTCATATCCCCAACAGATAGCCAGTGCACAGTATAAAATATAAATTTAATAATATTTTCTTTAACAGTCAGATGCTGTGAAGCACACCCCCAAATTAAACTGGGGTAGAGAAATGGGGCAAAAGCCCAGTGGAAATATCTGTAAGAAGAAAATGCAGATTACTTTGAGCTGAGCCTTCACAGTCCTCATGTGTCCCTTGACAGAGCCCATTGCTTAGCTCCTGCCCTGGATACAGCTTTGGTATCTTATTTCTTCACCCCACTGATGCCCTCTATTTAACCAACCATGACTATGAAATCTTATCACATTTAACGTTAGTAGTTCATTTTTGCACTAAGCTTGGCAACTGGAAGAGTACATGAAGTACTCATCTGCCTGTAAGACAAATGCAGGCAAAAAGTTATGATCCTGTAGGCTCAAGAGTAGTACCTAACTAACCAAAACCATCCATAGGACACAAATCTGAATTACCACCTCTAGTGGGGTTCTGTGGCTGCAATTTCAGCAGGAAATTTTTCATTCAATATTATGAAAGGGATGTGTGTATGTATGTGTTGTGGGGGGTGGCTGGAGTTGGGGAAGATGATACTGAGATCAGATGGGAAGGCAGAGCTGAGAGCAAGGTTCAACTTCAAGAAGCCAAAGGGGAGTCCAAATCAAAAGGCCAGAACAGGTATGGAGACTGACCACAGAGTTAGGAATTTGAGAGTGGGAGCGTTGAGAATAAATAGAGTCATCTGCTATAACAGCCAGCAAGGTTGTTCATGACTTGCTTTTTATTTCTTGGTCATACATGTGGTATGTCAGGCTGAGCTGATGGGTCTAACTCTAGGGTCAGGACAGCAACCTACCCTGCTTCACTAACCTTTGACGGCCATTCAGCCTCAAGTGCCCTGAAGGCTATAATGAGAACCTGAGACACTTGCAAAGTTCTTTATTCAGCTGACATCCTACATGTGGGACTGCAGGAATCCCTGTATTTTCTAGATGAAGCCCAACAAGAGTTTGTTATTAATTACCTAGTATACAGACAAAGAACCTGACAATCCAGTAGATGCACAACTGGAGTATATTATTGCGAAACAGAACTTTTTACAGGTGTCTTGTTAGGTGTTTGCAAGTTCATAAAAGTGGAATGGCCACCTGCCATATTTGCAGCCCATACCTAGGATATAAACTCAGTAAGATCTGTCAACACTGTCTCAAAAAAAAAAATCTCTTAATTTTGACCACTTTTAGTCTCCATTATTGGAATAACGAACCTAATCATCATCTTCTCTCACGTCAAGTACTGTAATGGACTTCTAACTGGTCTCCCTGCTTCCGCTCTTGCCTCTCCAAACTCCAGTCATTCTGCGAACAGCACAACCAGAGTAATACAAATCAGAGCGAACTGTTTTCCTTTTTAAACTCCTCTCCCATAGTCTATAATTGCTCCAGTCTGCTAACCACCTCCCTAACCTCATCTTGTATTATTCTCCCTTGGCCTTTTTTCAGTTATTCAAATGGCTTCTTCCTCTCCCTACTCCCAGAGAGTAATGGCCCCAACTCATTACTCTCTGCCCCATTATGCAAGTTAATGTATTCATAGAACTTAGAAGTTCTTGGATTTATTTACTGTTTACACATTTACTGTCTTTATCTCTGCAATGGAATGCACACTCCAAAGGCAAGGATTTTGTTTGTCACCACTGTATCCTAACACTAAAACAGTGCCTGGAATATATAAGCAGTCAGTGAAGGAAAAGAAGAAAGAAGGAAGGCAATTTGCTAATATGCCACCACTTCAGTTTCCTTGACCAAGACCTAGACTAGAAAAAAAGTTGCTTTTTGTAATCAGTTTTAAAGAGGGGTTGACTGGCTCCATCTAGGATAAAGTGGCTATCCTGGCCATTTCTGAGAGTTGTTCAGCTTCATTTGGCATTCCACCTGATGAAAAAATACAGCCTTTGCTTTGAACCTAAGACCAGCATCCCTGGCCCCCATTCCAAATCCTCGAATACCGAGAGGCAAAGTACAGAAGACAATCAGCTACAGCTACAAGACCCAGCACAACTCCCCAACATATAAACTGAGAGAGACTGCCAGCAAGATACTCAATTATGAATCTACTATTGCTAGGTAAGTTACTTTACAGAAGTCTACTTATTGAATAGCCTTCTGGCTCACCAATAAGGTGGACCCACACCAACATGATTATCAAACTTAAAGAACCTATGTCCGAATCCCAAGAGAACACATTCCTGTATAGGCATTTGGTTATCTAAGCAGCTGATTTTTATAAGCTCAAAAATTAAAGCATCAGGTTATAGATGCAGTTTATTTTGGATGCTGTAATACAAATTAATTTTTAATCTATATTTTAATATACATTTGGTGCCAAGTCAACCAAGCCTTGGTCCTTTAGGCAAAGTGACATACATGTATTGATGACTAGAAACCATTAAGAGCTTCTGATGTTACCAGTCTCATTCAGTATACCTACACCTGGTGGTGTTCCTCCTTGTAAATGCCCTGCTATCACTCACCTGCGACGCAGGAAGGGCTCAAGACAAACCGTGGGAAAACTAAGACACTTGAACATCAGTGGTTACCAAGCTAGTTGAACTGAGTGGAACTTCATGGAAATCACCAGGTTGATTTGGCAACGGCCTAAACAGACTTTTATCATGATGCTAGCTGGCTCTTAAGGGGAAACAGACTTTGGCCCAAGGTGTCTATACCAATGTATATGAGTCTATACTATACACCTTATGGAAATTTTTGGCTGTATACTTAAAGTTCCAGTCACGTACTTCATCTCACCTCCTAAAGCCCCTTGTTCCTGTTGGGTGAGAATTGTCTATAAATTTTATTGGGGCAATAAAGCTGCCCGGGGCAAAAGTAGCTCATGTTATAAACTGACTCAACCTTTCTTAACTATTACATCTTACCAACCTTTTTTTTAAGAAGGGGCTTATGCATATGTTATGCTCCTTTTTATCCTCCAAGGATTGGGACAGCAATTAACTGCTTTTCAAACAAGTCTTCTCTCTTTATGTACTGAACAAGATAATTCACTCATTTCCTCTTGACTTATACCCACTTCTTACAGACCAGCCTTGTCCACAGGCTAGATGAGGAAACTATGTGTCACATGCTTTCCAATCTCTGGAAAGTTTGGTTGGGACACTAACTCAAGGTAGGCCAATTATATTTTCTGTCCTGGGGACTTGAAATTGAAACTCTGAAAGATGTTCAATTAGCTGAGAGCTCTGAATCTTAAAGGCCCTATCATTTTGTGCCTGAGGCCACTGTTCTGGGGCATCCATGATGAGCAACATGGCAGGAGACAGTGGTGTTAAGAAAACAGAGCAGACATAATACAGAGAGAAAAGAGAGAATCATGTTCATTTTCCATGATGGCTGGCTGTATTTAATAAAATTTGAATGAACCGATGTGTTCCCTTTGTATTTTATAAGCAATCTTTTTACTTATAGAGGATATACTTAAGTGGATGTTTATTGCTTAAAACCAATCAATTTGTACAACATGCAAATATACATCTTAATTGATATTCTATTTTTCTTTCAGCTCTTGCTTTCATAATACTCTACCTCCTTCCCTTTCTTGGTATCTCTCTTCATTTCATCTGTTGCCAAAAATCCCTTGTCCTGTGTAATGGATACTTGCCATATTTCTTCTGCCCAGTATGTTTTGAACATTCTAATCTTTTATTATAACGATGGCAGGATGAGTAATGTGGTGTGCCCATGTGCCCACTTTTATAACCAAAGCAACATGGATTGAGAGGGGAAACTTGTTACCCTTTTAAAATGAAAAGCAATTCTGTGCACTTCAGTTAAGGAACCATCATATGACACATCCTGTTCCCATACTGATGATGGTATGTCTTTTCCAGGCTGGCCAATCTGGATCCCGATCCAATCGAACATCAATCAGTACAATTTCAGTGGTCAGGCCTTTAATGCAGATCAGTGCTTCCCAACTTTTTATTTGACAAATAATAATAATAATTATTATTATTTGAGATGGAGTCTCCCTGAGTCTCCCAGACTGAAGTGCAGTGGCACAGTCTTGGCTCACTGCAACCTCGGCCTCCTGGGTTCAAGTGATTCTCCTACCTCAGCTGCCCAAGTAGCTGGGATTATAGGCGTGTGCCACCATACCCAGCTGATTTTTTTATTTTTAGTACAGACGGGGTTTCACCATGTTGGCCAGGCTGGTTTGGAACTCCTGACCTCAGGTGAACCACCACACCTGGCCAAATAAATATTTAAAAAGTAATATTGTAAACTTCCTTAGGAATTTTTCAAATCATTAAAAAATTATTTAATGACATGATAGAGCAATTTTAGGTTAAAATATTTTATCTTAAATCAGCATATCATTAAAGATTGTATTATAAAGTTTACGCGGCAGGCCGGGCGCGGTGGCTCACGCCTGTAATCCCAGCACTTTGGGAGGCCGAGGCGGGTGGATCACGAGGTCAAGAGATCGAGACCATCCTGGTCAACATGGTGAAACCCCGTCTCTACTAAAACTACAAAAAAATTAGCTGGGCATGGTGGCGCGTGCCTGTAGTCCCAGCTACTCATGAGGCTGAGGCAGGAGAATTGCTTGAACCCAGGAGGCGGAGGTTGCGGTGAGCCGAGATTGCGCCACTGCACTCCAGCCTGGGTAACAGGAGTAAACCTCCGCCTAAAAAAAAAAAAAAAAAAGTTTACGCGGCATAATTTTTAATAATACTGATAATATTTAAGAACAAATTTTGACTTCTATTCACAGTAAATGAACTATTCTGTCATGTAAAGAAAATTACAAGTTGATGAGAAGATGGACTTGGCACCAAATGTATATTAAAATATAGATCAAAAATTAACTTGTATTATAGCATCCAAAATAACAAACTGCATCTATAACCTGATGCTTCCATTTTTGAGCTTATAAAGATCAGCTGCTTATTTTGATAATCTGGGGGTTTTTTAAATGTCAAGGTAGGATAAATGGTTTCACACTGCTCTTTGAGAGAATTTATTTGTAACACACTGTAGATTTTTATTACCAATAAATGAAAAGCCAAATTGGATAGAATCACCCTATATCTTTTCTTCTTCAAATTTTCAAGTGTTTAAATTTTTCTTTTTTAGAATTTTAACTACCTAAAGCGTACAATTAATTACCCCCCCAAAAAAATACCAGTTGTCCACAACGCCAATCATAGAGAAAGCTGAAAATGAATTCTTTTTCAAGAGAACCACTTCCTAATTATTTAATACCACAGCGGGTCTTTCAATTGACAGTTCATTTTAGAAATTAAAGCATCTTATATTGATTAGGCCTATACTATCTTTCACGAGATTTAATAGAGTACCTTACTATTTGTATTTGGTGAACCAGCCTGAAAATTATTTTCTCTAGAGCAGGCTTAAGAATAGGAAATAGCAAATGCCAATTACACACATATGTAAATAAATGTATAACTTTAAATATAAGGCATGCCTGCCTGATGTTTCTATCTTTATAATGATTTTTAAAAACTTTTTACTTTGGAATAACTCTAAATTTCCAGAAAAGTTCCAAAGATAGTACAGAAACACCCTTCACCTGGCTTCCTCTAATCGTGGTAGTTTAAAAAATATTAGATACATCTTGGTATTTTATAAGAATGCTGATCAGCCAGGTGTGGTGGTTCACACTTGCAAACCTAGAACTTTGGGAGGCCAAAGCAGGTGAATAACTTTTAGCTTAGGAGTTTGAGACCACATGGGCAACATGGCAAAACCTGTCTCTACAAAAATACAAAAATTAGTAGGGTATTGGTGGCTCACACCTATAGTCCCAGTAGTCCCAGCTACTGGCGAGGTTGAGGCTGGAGGACTGCTTGAGCCTGGGAGGTGGAGCTGAGACTGCACCATTATACTCCAGCCTGGGCAAGAGAGTGAGACTCTATCTCCAAAAAAAAAAAAAAGAATGCCTATCAGATGAATGCAACTTATGTATTTAATAAAGAACATCTTAAAATAATTTAGCAGAATTATATTTTCATACCCTTTATTAACTTATATTTTGACATGTGTTACACACGTTCCATCTTTAACCAATAGTCCATTATGAGTACAAATTAAACCACAAATGCAACTAAGAACAATTAAAAACAGTGTAATGGTTAAAAACCACCAAAGTAGACAATAAACAATTAGGGATCATGACCACAGTCGATCAGTTTCTTCTAATGACTGTATATTTGCATCACATCATTCAAACTGTTGTCTTTACATGGAAAAATATTTAAACATTTTATTAACACAGAACTATTGTTAATGTAAATGATATAAATTGATTCCAAGAGCAATTCATAATCTAATTCAAAAATTTCACATCAATGAGAAAATGTGCCAGAAGAGTCAAGACAACTTTGGAGTGGGAGGACGAAGGGAATGGTAATTTTTCTTACATTGAAATGGTGGGTAACAAGTGTTCACTGTATTGCTATGCTTTATACCTTACATATATGTTTCACAAATATTCGGCTACAGCAATTTAATTTTAAATATATTTAATTTTTTAAAAAGAATGGAGGAGGACCTTGCCTCATCAAGAAAAAATATTATAAAACTATTGGAATTTAAAATGTATTAATGGTATAGAAACAAAGATCAATGGGACCAGAGCCCAGAAATCAACTTATGTACATATGAGAATTTAGTAACTGATAATTTGACACGCAACCTATTATTAAAATTATTATTTCAAATGAATGGCCAACTTAACAAGATTCTTCCCTCACACTAGTCACAAAAATAAATTCCAGATGAACTTAAAGATCTAAATTTAAAAAACAGTATTAAAAAGTAAGACTCTATGTGTATCTTTGGGGCAGAAAAGACATCCATTAAGAAGTCAATATTAAAAAAGTAAGTAACATATAAAGCAAAGATAGGTAACTCTGCCATCAAAATTGAAAATTATTATTTAACAAAAGATGCCATAAAGGGAGAGGATTCCAACACACTGGAGGAAAATATGCCACTTTTATAATAAAGAATGAGTATCTAGAATATAAACAAACAAGAAAAGGCAAGCACCTATTATGTATTCTAGAAAAATGCAATATAAGAGTCCTTAAACAAAATACAAGTTAAATTTCTCTTTCATGCAAAAGAAGGTAAGAGCTCAGGCAGCAGCTCTGCCAAATGCTCAAGAGACCGGCCTTTTTGGCTAACTGACCTACCATGACAGTCCTGATGGTCTAGGATGGCCCTTAGTGCTTCAGTCCAGTCTTTACATCTGTGTTCCAACATATGACACATGAAAGGATGAAGAAGGGAGTGCTTTCTTCCTTTAATGGGACTTCAGAGAGTCGCACCTAACCCTTCTGCTTATATATCACTAGCTTAAACTTACATGGTTATACTTAGCTCCAAGTAGGTAAAGTGTTCTAGATGCGCAGCAATGTGCCTGGCTGAAAGCTGGGGTTCCTATTACTAAAGATGAAAGAAAAATGAATGATAGGAGGTAACCAGCAGTCTCTGCTATGCAACCCAATAAACAGAAAAACAAATACAAATGATCAAAAACTTTGGAGAAGATATTCAATCCCAGGGAAATAAAAATTAAAACAAGGAGATAACATTTTGTATAACTTTTAAAAGAGGCAAAAATTCACCAATTGATGAAGGTATGAATATTTTTAGCCTTATAGTATGTTAATTACTCTTACAAAGAGAATGTATTCAATATTATTAGTGCTTTTAATTAGATTATATATCATATATGTAATCTAGGTAATCTATGTAATCTATGATAATCATATATATATCTATGATTACATATATATATCTATGATTACATATATGATATGTAATATTAGTACAGACATCTTGGGGACCAATTTGGCAGTTATTAAAATTTTAGTTATATGACTCAGCAATTCCACCTTTCAGAATCTATTCAATATAAATATTCACACAGTTGCACAAATACTAGGATGTTCATTGTAGTAATGTTTAAGATAAGGAAAAATGGGAAACAATCCAAGTGTTCATCATTAGGGGAAAAGCCCCTGTTTTATTTTCTTCATAGCTCTATTACTACTATCTGAAATTATATTAATTTATCTACTTGTTTATCATCTAGGAAATCAGTTCATCTAGGAAAAGGAAAGCAAGGAGACTGTATTTATGTAATATTTGTTTGGCTAAAAATTCATTAGAAATAATACCTTTTCTTCTAAAAGTACAAATCAGAACACACACCATTCCAGATTTTAATAACATGAACCCACCAGAGGGCCCACATGAAGGTCTGTAGGTTTGCAGACAAAGGCTGAGAAACACTGCCCCTGATGAAGAGTCTGAACTTGCTATCTAGACAGACTGTCATTAGCCTGGCCTGTTTGCTCTTTTAAGGTATGGGGCATTTCTCAGTAGAATCAACATACTCTCTTCATTACACAGAACCCTCAACTGCCTTTAATACTTGGATCCCAATACTGCTGCCAGCACCCAGTGAGCATTCACTCATTGAGGAGGGCCCACTGTGGGAAAGGGGTTTTAATCTTCTGCTAGACGAATACCAAGACTGCCAAGATGTACCATGTTGAGAGAAGACAAAATGCTAACACCTGAGCCACAGTGCTTGATGGACCACTGGGCATTGGTAGCAGCACATCAGTACTCACAACAGCAATATTCTGGGCCTAATCCCCAAGGCTGTAAAATAGGAAATATGCCTATGATCCACAAAATGGAAGGGATAAGTGGCCCTTGCTAGGATTCCTAAGTCCTTAATGACATTTCCATTCACAACCACTAATCTCTGCTTTTTATTTCTAATCTCACAGAGAAGCAGTTTTCAAGCTGCTTTTTCTTTGTTTTTTAAGATGGGGTTTCACCATGATGGCCAGGCTGGTCTTGAACTCCTGACCTCAGGTGATCCACCCACCTCGGCCTCCCAAAGTGCCAGGATTACAGGCGTGAGCCACAGCGCCTGGC